CGGAAGAAAATACTAATCATGGAAGTGAACAGGAAATGGAAAGGAAAGGTATGCTGCTTAATATTTGTAATATGCCATTTCCTACCGTTATTATTCTTCTATATTAAATACTTCAGCGGGAAATGTTATCATCGATGGGAGGAGATTATAGCGGATCGGGAATTAGATACAATTTTAAATAGCGAAATCGATGATGACTATTTTATGGTTGGCGATAACATCCGTATTTTATTGTTCGGAAATATAGTAAAATAGTTGAAAAATGATAGGGAGGTAATATTAGTATTTTATAGGGAGGGAAATCATTAGTATTTTATTGTTTAACAATATAGTGAAATGATATCTTTTATAGTTTATAAGAAAATATAAAATTGGAATTATTTTATTATTATTTTATAGTTGGTAATATTATTGGTATTTTATTGTTTTGTAATATAGTAAAATAGTTGAAGTGCAGAATTTAAATAATAATGAAATTATAATGATATTGTTAGTATTTTATAGGGAGGGAAATCATTGGTATTTTATTGTTTAACAATATAGTGAAAAGATATCTTCTATAGTGTATAAGAAAATATAGAATTGGAATTATTTTATTATTATTTTATAGTTAGTATTATTATTAATATTTTATTGTAGTATCATTGATGTTTGTAATATACTTAATTATTTAACGGTATAGTGAAATAATGTTTTACCACATACTCATATTTATTTATAAATTTATTAAGATATTTATTTATAATATTTTATACGTTATTATTATATTACAATACAATAGTATTTCTTACATCTTTATTTCTATATCACATCATCATAGCAATATATTAGCAATATAAACGTATTTTTATAAATATATTTATTTATAAATAATTATAAATATAGTTGTATATTAGAGTAAATAGTTTCCACGTTTTAAATGTTTATTTTCAACCGTGTTTCATATGATACTTTAATGAAAAATTTCCTGCTACTGGTATTTGAATATTTTTTACTTGCATTTCAAAGACTAATGTCCTAAATGCCATTTTATGCGATAAGAAATACTGGCACGTTTTATGCAAAGTGTCGGTCACGTTTTTGCTCGGGAAATAAAATGTTATTAATGTTTCTGACAAATAAAGTGTTTAAATGAAACTAGTCTTCAAGAATATTCGTTTCGACCCGTTTTCACGTCAGCAAAGATACAATCGTTTCTGATTATAGTACAGTATCCTAGTAATAACTTAGTAATTACCAAAGAGGAAGCAAAGCCTGTATTAATCAATTTCCCTTCATTTGAACGAGTTAACGGTGTTAGTTTTGTATAAAAATCGTGCACTCGGATGAAATTATACGCGTAATGCTAACGAGCAGGCATCGATTCGAAAATTGAAAAATTCATGAAGGTAACGTTAATGATGTTTAATATCGTAACTGTTATTTCGGGTAAATGAAACATCGATGTTACGCGAAAACGGATGCATTAAAAGACATTAATTCGAATTTCGCAGAATTGATTCCTACGGTTTTCCAAACGGTCTTTTTCCACTTATTTCCACGAACATGACTCAGTATATTTCTGGAAATGCACACCTCGTGAGACGATGCATACGTGATTACTTACGAGTGTAACCCTTGACAATTGCATCAGAAGAATATTCGATTCTCAAACTACAGATTTTTCTGCATCTTGTTTCATCGCAGGTTATTTCTTTCGATTATCATCAATTTTTCTATTCTTCAGATTTCAGTTGAAAGTATAGTTATTTTATAATTACCCTATTATTACTATTTTATAATTAGTACCATATCTTAATATGATTTACGAAATCTTTGTTCGTTGAAGTAATTTGTTGTTTATGAAATTTGTATTTTCACGATTTCACCATTCGTTTATAATATTGTTAATTTTTTAATAAAATTTCGTAATTTTGTAATTTCAGAATTTGTCCATAGAAGTATGATATATGAAAAATCTCTGTTCGTTAAAGTAATTTGTCCTTGTTTATGAAATTGATACTTTCGTGATTTTACAATTCGTTTATAAAATTGTTGATTTTTTAATAAAATTTCGTAATTTTGTAATTTTAGAATATGTCTATAGAAATATCAAATATGAAATCTCTGTTCGTTGAAGTCATTTGTTTTCGTGATTTTAAGATTCGTTTATAAAATCGTTAATTTTGTGATAAAATTTCATAATTTTTAAATTTGTCTACGGAATTGTGAATTTCGTAATTTGTTTGTAAAATTAGTTTTGTATTTCGTATACTTGTGAGAAAATTTTCAACTATTTCGTGTTTCTCGTTTTAATTTTCCATTTTGTTTGGAAATACAATAACTGGCAGAAAATCAACAGCAGATTCCATCCATTTTCGGTGTTAACTATTTTGTAATCTCCTT